AGAGAAACCCTTTGCCTAGAGCTGGCACCCTGAATTCTGACTTCTAGCCTTGTGGAGCTCTGGTAGCACAGTGGCTAAAGCACTTGACTGCTAACCAGAAGGCTGGCGGTTCAAACCCACCAACCACTCCTCGGAAGGAAGGTTGGGCAATCCTACTACCGTAGTGATACTGCCTCGGAAACCCAAGGAGGGGTCGCTATGAGTCGGGTCCGACTGGACGGCACACAACAACAACAACAACAAGCCTTGTGAACTGTGAAAAAATAAGACCACCTACTTGTACTTCTGTTATAGCAGCACTAGATAACTAAGAAAAGAGCTCTGGTGATAGAGTGCTTAAGGCATTTTGTGGCTAACCAAAAGGCTAACCAAAAGCTGAACCCACCAGCTCCACTGAAGAAAGATGAGGCAGTTTGCTTCTGTAAAGATTTACAGCCTTGGAAACCCAATGGGGGTCTTAGATAATTAATCAACCCGCTCTCCCTCCATCCTGTATTTGTTTTGGAGACCAGTTCAAAAGCTGCTATTTTACTTTTGCCTTTCCATTTTTTTCCCAGTCAAAATGAACTGCTCTCCCTCAGTGCAACGTCTGTAGAAAATACGAGCGCATGAACTTAGTATTTTTTTTTTTTTTTTAAAGTGGGAGAGACCTGAGCATGTTCATATGCTGAAAAGGAAGCATTAGCAGCGAGTTTCCAATACGGGTGAGCTAGGTGGAGGGGCCCCAGAAGAGTCAGGACAGTGGATACGGGTAGGTTCAGGGGCCCCCACTTGCCGTTCTCTTGCTCTTACAGATCTAAAACAGGGTGATGAAGGTGTCAGGAGCGGGGTGTTTAAGAGGTTCGTGAATATTTTTAAGTAGTTGTGGGGAGAAAGCAGACTGGAAATGTTTATTAGGCGAGCTGGTCCTCATCAGCCAAATGTTTACTGCGTACTAGGCTCTACAATTTTAAGTGCTCCCCATTAATGACCATCTGTGGTGCGGGTATGTGCGTTGTTAAGATGAGCAAACCGACGCTCAGAAAGTGTAAGTAATTCGCTCAAGACCACACACCTAGGTAGTAATGGGGCCAGGACACAAATCCACTCAAGAGCCTGCGCGCCACAAAATCACTCGGGGAACTCTGGGGGCTGGTGTTCTAGACCTCTCCCGCTACAACCCAGAATTCCGGGAGGCGTGGACGAGACCATAGGCTCAATAGGAGGGGGGAATCCTTAGCGGTGCGGCGAGTCTGTATCTTTATATGGGGTGGAAGTTCCCGTGAGTCTTTGCCATTGTCACCCTGCCATCTGTGAGAAATGAAACATTCCAACTCCTTAAGAATCTGTGTTAAAGGCAAGTTCTGCCTTTTCGCTGTGACTATGGAGGTAAGTAGCTTTTGCTTTTGGAGTCAGTATTTAGCTCTAAGGGCAAATAAGGAGGGAGAGCTTTTGTAACTTCTTGAATGGTGTTTTCGGGAAACACAGTTGCAGAGAAAAGGCGGCTGTCCTCCCGTGGGCCTCGGTGCGGGCGTTGCGGCAGTGTTGACGAGAGTCACGCAGGGTCTCGCTGGGCCTAGTCGCCCGCATGGGCCACAAGGGTAATGAGTATTTGTTATGTTTGGCAGGGCCGTCGCCGCTGCTGCCTAGGGTTCCCTAAGGAGGCTCATGCCATTCCCCGTGGCAGCCTCGGAGGGTTGCAAACTCGAGGAAGCTAGGTAAGTTGGGTTCAGGGTCCTGTTGGGGCGCTACAGTGGGTAAAGTTTATAATTGGACCATGAGGAACTGGGCGACTGTCGTGATGATACTGGTGATAGGAAGTGCCGTCAGAAGCGATAATTGACGACTTTTATGCCTGTCTGACCACAGCCGTTGAAATCTCGACAGTTTTCATTGAACATGACTGCCAGAATGTACTTTTCATGTATGTCATTTTTTTTTTTTAAATAGATTGCAGACCAACGGCAGAGCACTGACGACAAGAGCATCATTTCAGTGAGGTAAGTTCTAGTCTGTTAATGTGCCATGGAGTCGGCCCTGACTCCCAGCGAGCCCTCCTTGGGTTTCTTGGACAGTATTACTACGGAGGTAGATTGCCCCATCTTCCTGTTATTTCCGAGGCAGGAAGTAGATGGCCCAACCTGCTTCGGAGGAGTGACTGGTGGGTTTGAACCGCCAGCCTTCTGGTTAGCAGTCACGTGCCTTAGGTACTATGCTACCAGAGCTCCTATCTTCCTTCCTAGGTAAAGTTAAATGTGTCAACCGGGCTTATCATATTTTTGTTACCTTAAATACGCTAAAATCGCCAACTGACATCTTAGTTGTGGTTTTTATACATTTAGCATTTGAAATTACTCAGTCATTGAATACTGCGGACTCTCAAATATATTGCAGCCACAGCCCTAGCCTGAAACTGCACTTAAGCTACAGCTATGTACGGAAACGTCAACTCTTTGACATTATAACATATATATTCCCTGCTTTAAGACATCTTTCGTTTAATTTTGGGTGATTTCTGGGTATCAGCATGGTTCAGTTGAACCAAGTTTTACACGGGAGCCTTGACTGATCTAAAGAATATGATAATAAAAAAGAGGCACATAACTTTCTCATCAGTTGCTGGTGCACAAAGTCGATCTGCGCTGTTATCTTTCATTCTTATACTCAGGTTAAAATTTGAAGGTTTGCCAGCAGCTGTATGGGAGTTAGGAGCACTGAAATACCATGAGGCAAGTGTTATGTCTGAGAGGTTAGGTTAGTGGTTGTGTGTACACAGCTGTTTGTTAAAGTGCTATTTTGATAGGTAAGATATTGGGAATTACACAAATTAGTCGGTGTAGCCCTTGACCCTTTACTGAATGTCCCTGAGATACTCTGACTTGGGGTTGGGTGACTGTTGAAGAAGAGTAGAGAGTAGCCAGAAGGGGTTCCTGTTATCTCTGCTGTATAATCTTGACTAAATGACTTGTACTTCTTAGATGTAGTTTCCCTCATCCCTGAAAATCTTAGATTTTTGAAGTTCAAAATTGGCTAAATGGAGGTCATAAGCACTAAAGAAGCTAATTGGGTTCTGTTAATTTCTGTGATAAATTTACAGAAAAGCAGCTCTATTAAATGCTTGAGCACACTTATTAGCATGGACTTGTCATTGGTACCTTAGTCTGTTATTGTCAGATATGCTTCTCTCTGCCCTTGATGGGCTGTGGCTGAGGTGTCTTTTCATTTCCCCAGGTTTAACAAGGGAGAGGTAGAGAGTGGGACCCACAGTAGAGTGACAGCTTCAGCTCAACCTACGAGGTAAGTCTTGATCCTGAAAAACCAACCACCATGGTTAAAGTGTTAAAGCTGACGTGCAGAAAAGGATATCACATGATGAAATCACCCAAAATAGCTGGAATTACCGGCAGATGATAAAGTGGTGAACTTGAGGTTTTCTGAAGATATCTTAATGCTGTGATCGACTTAGTTGGAGTAGAGAGTGAGATTGATCATTTCATTTCTTTGCAGGCTGTGTCCTGAGGAGATCAGCTGCAGCAGGGACAATATGAAGTCCAGTAACCTGGGATGACTGACTACCACCATGAGCTTCAGATCAGAGAACCTAAGCATTTGGTATAATAACTTTGGGAATGTGTTCAACTTGCTGAGTTTCAGAGCCAAGAAGTGTATTTGGCAACTTTTAGTGGGACAGGCACATTTGGTCCCATTTAATTTATGTCAAACTTCTCAAGAGATTTTTACTGAGGTAGGGCTGAATTCTTAACTAGAAGCTATAAATTCCAGTTTGTCTTAAAAATGTTTCCATGCAATTATAAACTAAGTATAAGAAAAGATGGTCTTTGGTGTTGGTTTTTAAAAATGTGTATTTGTGAAGAAAAGGTTAAATGTGATGATCACTCAAACTTTGGTCAGTAGTCTAAACTGTTTTCACCTCCTGGTGATTTTGGGGTTTAAGGGGAATTTCTCATCTGTAGTTGGGGCCAGTGCTTATTATTTCTGGACCTCTGCCAAAGATTTGGCAAAGGGAAGATGTAGGGTTCAATGCCTTTAAGACCCTGCTATTTACAACACGCCTGCCCATGCCTCCCCCCCACTGCAAGGTATCTTATCTGTAGGCAATAGATGTCCTCTTAGCCTCATCTAAATAAAATTCACTGCCATTCAGGAAATTTTGACTTAGCTACCATCTTTTCAGAAGCAGGCTTTCTTATCTCCTGCAGAGCAGCTTGACTTTGCCATTGACCTGGTTGGTATTCAAGTGTTTTAACCACTGTGCCATCAGAACCCAGGTTTTTGGGAGCATTTCCTAGTATCTTAGGAATGGGCTCAAAGGTCTATTTACCTTCAGGGACTCCATGAAAGAAGTTTTGTGGCAAATGGGAGTATCCGAGGTAATACTGTCTTAACTGCTTAGGGGGCAAGCAGAGCCACTGCAGGTGTACCCTGAGGGGTCTGGCAATTGTGGGGATTTACAGGGTTTCTGAGCAGGCCCTAGACACTGCTGGATGGAACCAAGGAGACCCTGTATACTGGAAGACTGAACATTGCGGTTGATGGACAGGGCCTTAGAGGCACAGGCTGAGGCTTTCAAAAGCAGTAGGTGGTGACCACCTTCAATCCACCTTTAGACTGGAATGAGGCTCCCTGTCCCCAAGATTCCAACCTGTGTGGAGTTGCTACCTGAAGAGAGCAAATCTAATGCAAACTTAGAAAATCATAGGCCCCAACAATATTTTCTGGGGGAAAGCTTGTTGGCTTCATAATAACTCAAGTTACTGGCACCTCTAAACCCTATACTTGCAGTCAAATTTTGGGGTGCTGAGGTGGGAGTGCCAGATAACCCCTAAGCTAGTGATGCATCTCAGGACCAAAACAGATGAGGTTTGTAAGGGGAAAGATAACCAAGGAGGATCCCCCTTTCCTAGATGCTGGAGTCTGCCTCCTAGTGGGTGAGCCAGTCCAGGCCACTTTTGGATTGTCTGGTCCGGTTAGAAGCCCTTACCTCCCTCAGCCATTCTACTCTACAAGGACTCCCTGGGTGAGGCATGTCTCCCTCTCAACGTCTGAGCTACAGGTACAGGTTCCATGTCTTTGCTGTGGTCTCTGGCAAGGGCCAAAGGGCCCCCTCCAGGATCCTCTTGTGTCCCATCTGGGGCCTCCTCTCCACTGCCTGGCCCCTCACCCAGTTCCAGGATGGTGGGTAAGTGGCCTTGCTTTGGGGAACGTTTGCGCAGGCTGAGCAGGAAGGGCTGAGGCAGTGAGAAGATGTCCACATTGTTGCCCAGGTCTATCCATGTGACATTGGGGAACTTGCTGGGGTCCTTCAGGGCATCAGTGAGGTCACGCAACAGGGCCCGGGTCAGCCGGTTGCCGTTGAGTGCCAGCGTAGTGAGGCGAGGAAGTGTGCTGAGTGCTGGCAGCAGCTGCAGGACCATGTCATCCGTAAGGCCTGTGAAACCCAGCTCCACAATGTCCACCTGTTCTCCACAGCGCTGCAGGTAGCTGGTCACTCGCTCCAGGTCCCGAGAGGTCAGGGGGATGCCTGACAGGTCCACTGTGTTGTCCAGAGGGCTCCCAGCCAGGATAGCTTTGAGACTGAAGGAGAATAAGCAAGGGTCAACCAAGCGTGATCACTTGTTCCTCAGAGGCCCTCATACTATTGCAAAATGATCAAATTCTGTAATTGCAGTGGTGGGAGAAATCAGGGATACTCCCTTGCCCCACTTGCTGGCACTATCCCATTTGACCAGAGACTGGTCTGTGGCTGCCAATCCTATAGGGCTACAAGGAGACCCAGGTGTTTTTGTATGTCTGGATTTGTACTTTACTCCTCCCTGCTTGTGTGACCTTTAGTTATTTAACCTCTCTGCCTGAAATATGGAATTATGTAACAGTGTATGATAAAGATGAAGTTTCCTGCTGTAATTAATAATCACTTTGGCTGAGCTGCCCCCAAGAGAACAATCTCAGATGACTTTAAGACCATCTTCCACATCAGATGGGGACCCTTCAGGTCAGCCCTGCAAAACAGACTGGAGGGTTCAGGCGCTCTGTGCCTGATGGCGGCCGCTCACCCCTGGAGACTAAGTGCTCTACTCCCTTCCACTCATCTCCCTCCCCTTGTTCCTTACTTGGGCCAGAGCCCAAGTGCCAAAGCTAGATTGAGTGCCCCTTCTCTCACCTGTCTATGCTGGCTCTGAGCCATGGTCATTGATGAGATGCCCATGTTCCCCATCTTCAGGTGCCCCAGGCAAGCCCAGAGGTGCCAACAGTAGGAAGGAGGGAGGTAGGATACTTATAGCCTCTTTCCCCTCTCAGCTCCTCCAAGGTCACAGGTTAACAGCAGCAGCCCAAGGGGCACAGCTTAGATTTCCTATCAGCAAAAGTAGGCAAGTCCCTATCCTTGGGGTCTCCTGAAGCTGGGAGGATGTCCTGTGTTTCCTCATCTTGCCTCTGTTGGAGTCCAGTCCCACGGAGTTTGAAACTCTCAAGTCTTGGGACAATGTCTGGTATTTGTTCAGTGTTGGCTGCTATTATTGTCCATGTAATTAATTAAGGAGACCCACAACACAAAGGAATAAGGTAGCATGGTGGTTAACAGCTTGGGCCTTGGATCAGTCGGTCTGAATCCAGCCCCCGTACTCAACCAGTTGTTGTATTGCCTCGAGTCGGCCCCGACTCATAGCGACCCCTCCTTGGGTTTCTGAGGCAGTATCACTACGGAAGTAGGATTGCCCAACCCTCCTGAGGAGTGGCTGGTGGGTTTGAACCACCAGCCTTCTGGTGAGCAGTCAAGTGCCTTAGGCACTATGCTACCAGAGTTAGGTGACTTTAATATCCTCTACCGCATTCATTCCTTCAAATATTTGTTAAACTCCTACTATGTGCCCCAGGCACTATTCTAGGGCGGTGGGGGTGGTGTGACTAAGATAAGATCTCTGCTTTTATTCAATTGGGAGCAGACAGACAACAAACAAGATGATGTGTGAATGAAGTCAAAGAGAGGTTTGGGGTGGGGGTAAACATGGTCTACTTGAGATTGGCTAGGAAAGGCATCTTCTAGGAGATGACATTTGAGCTGACATGTGAAGAAAAAGCATGGATAATCAGAAGAGTTTGGTAAAAGTTTCAGCAACCAGAATGCAAGTGCAATAGGCCTGGGGGCTGGAACAAGCTTGGGGTACTTGTGAACAACTGGGAAGGCCAGTGTAGCTGGGGCCCAGTGAGAGGGTAAGAGAGGTGGAGTGGAAAAGGCAAGGCCAGAGAAGTGGGAAAGGCCCCTCACGTAGGGCTTTGTTTAGATGCCATTCATGTGTGATCTGAGGGGAATGAGGACACCTCATATACATGGCTTCTGAATGGAGAATGGACAACATGTGGAAGGGTAGGAAAAAAATCCCATCAAGTCCAATACAGCTCAAATGTCTTACACAGCTAGCTCAAGAAGTCTCAGTGTGACACCTGTCTTCAGGGTTTCCATGTCCTTCCGTCCTACTTTATCTCCTCTTGTGACCCTGCCCCAGCCAGCATCCTTCCCAAGGCTAGCTTGGGGAGAGCCTCTCACTCTGTTCCACCTGGGAAAGCTCCCTAGGACCGATCTCCTTCAACTTTGGGAACGTGTGTGTGTGTGTGTGTGTGTGTGTGTGTGTGTGTGTGTCCGTCCCCAGAAGGGAGGAGAAACCAGAGCTCACTCTTCTCTGTAGGAGGGGCCAGTCTCCCCTTTTCCATCTGCAGGAGCCTGGAAGGAAGAGTCCTAGCAGCAGAACCCTGCTGGAGAGCCCTTCAGATGGCAGTCACACTTAGTTCCAAGGATATTTGCAAGAAAGGCTGGGTCCTTTGTCCTCCAGTAAGCCTTCCTTTCAGGCTTCCCTCCATTGCCTACCTTTGGTGCTACTACTGTCCTTGCCTATAGATTCTGTGTCTCACGTGCCTCCCCCTCTCCTCTGGGGTTACGAAGCTCCTGAGGATCCTCACTGGGCCAGGCACATGGCTAGGGGCTGGGACCCCCATGGGACACTCTAGGGAACAGGAAGACGTGGTGGGAATGCCTTCTTAGCCCACCAAGGACGTAAACTCCTGTCTTCTTCCCTGCCTATCCAATTGTGCTCAGCCCAGTAACTCTTCAGCTTCCAGCCACTCTTCATTATCTCCTCTTGGGGCTTATGCCCACTAGAATGCCCACCCCAAATTCTCCTTCAATCTTGTTTCTTCTGGGCAGTCTCCCAAGTCAACCCCTTGGTTCTGGTATCCAGGGTGGGACCGTGCACCCCACAGCCTGGCTTAGACGTGCTTTGGGCTGCCCTGGTGGAGGAGGCCTACCTCTGGCAAGAACTCTGCAGGTACATGAACTCACCAGGCCTGTGGCTTCCTCTTGCCCAGCCCCCGATGCCGCCTCCACTGGGAGTGTGGGCTGAGGTGGTATGTCAGCTGCCGGCACAGCTTCTCCATGGTGCCCAGTGCATCGCCTTCCTACAGAAGCAACCACAGGAACGGGTCCCTGAGTGTGGAACAGAGCTGCCCGACTGCCCGCAGCCTCCCAGTCCTGGTGAAGGAGCCCGCGGCTGGGCTGGGGGCCTGCTCTGCTGGCTGAATGTGGATGCCCATACCAGAGGGCTATTGTTGCAAACTGACCTGCATAGTGTTTATAGTTTTTGTGAATGGCAATCATTGAAAAATTGACATTTAGAGTCTGGATTCTATCTTCTTTTGAAAAATCAGGAGCTCTGGCAACAATGGGCTAGAGATAGATGCCAGCTGACCTCTCAGCCAGGGTACCCCATGGTCCCTGCCACTCTCAGGTCCGAGCCAAGTTTTTTTTTTTTTTTCAATTGACAATACATATTTCCTGAGCACCTATTGCCAGGTACATGTGCTAGAAGCTGAGAATACAGCTATGAGCAAATGTTCTTGCTTTGTATCTTACACAGAGGAAAGTGAAACATCACCTTCACTCACATCTCTCTTAAATCAGGTGAATAAAACAAAGAAGGGGCAAGTCTTCCGAGATCAATTTACTCACCTAGGTCACCTGTCTGGTCCTTCAGCATTTGTGTTTGAGACCCTGGGGAACAGGATGGAGCAGGACACCACAGAGGCTCCAATTCAGTCCCAAGGGAAGTCAAATTAACAGTTACTGAACCTTCAGTCTCTCCCAGACCTGTGCTGTGTGGTGGGACACGAGGCCTGTGTGGGGAGTGAGTGGCCAAGAGTGTATGCTAAGGACCAGGTGGTCCACATCGCAGGGCTTAGATGCAAACCCATGTGTACTTAATCACCTCGCTGTGTTGAGGTCAATGTATTGACCCAGTGTCTGGCAGAGTTAGCCCTTGATAAAGGCCAGCTATCATCATCATCATCATCATCACTCTGCTAATGGAGATGCATATTTGGATCCACAATTAACAAACAATTGAAGCAGAAGTCAAGAAATCAGATGACATACTGCACTCGGCAAATCTGCTGCAAAGTAGACTGCCCAATCTGCTGCAAAAGATCTCTTTAAAAAGAACAAAGAAGTCACTTTGAAGACTAAGGTTCACCTAACCCAACCCATGGTATTTTCAATAGTCTCATATGCATGTGAAAGCTGGACAGTGAATAACTAAGTAACTAACTAACTCACTCACTGCCCTTGAGTCTGATCTGACTCACAGTGACCCTCCTTGGATTTCCGAGGCAGTTATCACGACCAAAGTAGACTGCCCAATTTTCCTTCCGAGGAGTGGCTGGTGGGTTTGAACTGCCAGACTTCTGGAGAGCAGTCAAATACTTTAGGCACTATTCCAGTAGAGCTCCCAGTAGAGTTCCCAGTGAAGTCTTTTATGTAGAGGTCTTCTTATTTGTTTATTGATTGATTGATTGTGATTTGAATGAAGATTTACAGAGCAAATTCACTTTCCATACAGCAGTTCACATATACTTTGTCTCATGTCATTGACCACAGTTTACCACAATGCAACAGCTCCCCTCCCACTTCCTCCCCATAGTTAACCTCTTCCCAGTGTCCATTCCTCCATGCACCCCTGCCCCCTGAGCTGTCTCCCTGTGCATAAGCAGCCCTTCTTTCTCCCATGATTTTTCTCTCCAAAGAGTGTATCTACTTGAGGTAAATGTTCAACTCATATGCCTGTATTTTGTTTGGCTAGAAACCACAGGTGTGGGTTCAATTCCTGACCTGAAGGGCAGCTAGGGGCCATAGTCTCAGTGGTTCCACCAGGCTCTATCGGATCAGCAAACCTGGTCCCCACCTTTTTTTTTTTTTTTTTTAATGTAGAAGTCTTCTTATTTGTACCCAAACTTGATCTCATTCTCCCCTGACTTTAGGCAGGTACTCTTCAAGGCGCCCTGGTTTCAGCTCCACCATATCCTTCTGGACAGTGAATAAGGAAGACCAAAGGAGAGTTGATGCCTTTGAATTGTGGTGTTGGCGAAGAATACCAAAATACCATAGACTGCCAGAAGAATGAACAAATCTGTCCTGGAAGAAGTGCCGCCAGAATGCTTCTTGGAAGCAAGAATGGCCAGCCTTTATCTCACCTACTTTGGTCATATTGTTAGCAGGGACTAGTCCCTGGATAAGGATATCATGCTTGGTAAAGTGGAGGGTCAGCAAAAAAGGGAAAGACCCCTCAACAAGATGGACTGACAGAGTGGCTGTGATAAATGGGCTCAAGTATAGCAAGGATTATAAGGATAGTGCACAACTGGGCAGTGTTTTGGTCTATTGTTCATAGGGCGGCTATGAGTCAGAGCTGATATGATGGCACCTAACAACAACAAAGGAGAAGCAACATACTGAATAGTTAAAAGCATAGAGTTGGAGCTAAACTGCGTGGATTCAAGTCCCTGCTTTGTTACCTCCTGTGTAGCCCTGGGCAAGTCACTTAACCTCTCTGTGCCTCTGATCCTCATCTCTGAAGGGAAAACAGTACTGATCTTGTAATAGTATAGGCAGATTAGAACTTCTAGGAGATGAATATGTGTTCTAACCTGAGTTCCATATTAATCTTGCTCAATTTAAACACTGCCTTACTCTGCTACTTGTAGCCATAATCACATAAGAATCCTGCCCCTGCAGCCATATTCCTAAGATCATAAAACCAAGACAGGAACAGCTCACAGGACAGGGCAATTGCATGCATTCCTTACATCATGAAACTAAGGAAGAAACACTGCAAAAGAAATAATGTAAATATAAATTTACTACTTAAAAGGCCATTCTTGAGATGTCTTCAAGCTCACTATCTGTGGCCAATGTTAACCAGTTTTGGAGCCTGTATACCCCTGCCCTCCTTTACCACCTGATGAACTAAGATGGCCAATCCAAGATGAGACCAAGACTAGAACCAAGGGCAAACAGCAGACTGTGCATGCACCTAGCCTGATGGAAGCTGAGGCCTATCTTAGGAATTTATCACAACCTTGTTCTGCTTCTTGACCTTCACAAAAGGGTCAGGATTTTATGAATACCTGCCTGCATTAGGTCTTTAGAAATCACATACACCATGACCTTAAAAACTACTAGCCTGTAAGGTTTAGAGAGACACACATGGCGTCACCTCTGGCCCCATGTGTCTCCACCTTGTATCTACTGTTCTCTTATTAAATTTCTCTCTGAGCTACAGCTGACTTTCTACTCATTATTTCGGAACCCAGACTGCAACAATCTCATAGTTTTTGTGAGGATTAAATGAGTTAATATTTGTAAAGCACTTTGCCTAGAGCCCAGCACATTGAAAGTGTATTTGAATGCTTATCAAATAAACACTGTACTATAAGAACCACATGAACACACAGAACCCTGGCAAGGTAAAGCAAGAAGATGACTTCTGCCGAGGCTCAGATTGGAGGAAGGCTTTTAAGAATGGTCAGGTTATGTGGCTTCCAGCCAAACAAAAGACAGGCATGAGAGTTGAATATTTACCTGAGGTAGATACGCTCCTTGGAGAGAACAATTATGGGAGAAAGAAGGGCTGCCTATGCACAGGGAGACAGCTAAGGGGGCAGGAGTGCATGGTGGGACAGACACAGGGAAGAGGTAACTATCGGGAGGAAGTAAGAGGGGAGCTGTTGCATTGTGGTAAATTGTGGTCAATGTCATGAGACAAAGTGCATGTGAACTGTATGGAAAGTGAATTTGCTCTGTAAATCTTCACCCAAATCACAATTAAAAAAAAAAAAAGAATGGTCAGGTTAGTGTTTTTTGGATGGAGAAAGAAGGATCCTTGAATGAGGAGGAAATAGCTTGAGCAAGGACTTGGGGTAAAGGGGTATGTGATGGGGGCAGATGAGAATCTGGAATCTGACCACTTCTTACCACTTCTATGGCCATCACTATCTTTTGCCTACATTACTGCACATCAGACATTATACTATAACTTGATGGAATTCCCACAATACCCCAGAGCAGTAAATACTTTCTAGTGATGAATAGTGAATATACTGTGGGCTGCTAGAATGAACAAATCAATCTTAGAAAAAATACAACCACAATGCTCCTTAGAAGTGAGGATGGTGAGATTCTGGCTCTCTTTCTTTGGACACAGCCTCTGGAAAGACCAGTTGCTAGAAAATGACATCATGGTCAGTGAAGTAGAGGGTCACTGAAAACGAAGAAAGTCCTCAGTGAGATGGATTGACACATAGCATCAACAATGGACCCAAACATGCAAACAATCATGAAGATGGTGAGGACAAGGTAGCATTTCTGTTATACGCAGGGAGCTTTGGTGGCATAGTGCCTAAGGCTAACCAGAAGGCTGGTGGTTCAAGCCTGCCAGTCACTCCTCGGAAGGAAGATCGGGCAATCTACTTATGTAGAAATACTGCCTCAGAAACCCAAGGAGGGGTCACTATGAGTCGAATCGACTCAATGGCAGTGAGTTTGGTTTTCTTTTTCTGCCATATGTCAGAGCAGACTTGATGATGACCAACAACCATCACTTCCATTTTACAGAAGAGGAAACTGAGGCTCAGAGAGGTTAAGTGACTTATCTAAGGCCACACACTGGCTCCACCATTACATACTGTTTCTGGAATCTATACAACCTGGCTCCAGAATATAGGATGTCCTGTCTGCCTAAACCTCTCCTGTCTCTTTTTCCTACATTTTGTAAATTTTCATAACTGATGAACAGCAAACCCTTCGGGATAGACAGAGCTATGTCAGTTTCTGGGGACAGCAAAGAAAAGGGAGAAACGGAGACTGCATTCCACTCTGAAGTCTGGTTGCAGGGAGAGCAGCAAAATAATGCACATGGGGGTTACCGTGAAAAGGGAGGGAAAGCTGTTTGGGTACTGGTACAGGGACCTCTTCCCTAGGAATGACTCTCTGAAGCTCCCAATAAGAGCTTTGTCGTGGCTATAGATACCCAGAAGGGGAAGGCAAGGGAGAAAGGTCAAGGGGAAGGCAGAGACAAAAGGTCTAGGGCTTGGATGGGTCTACTCTGGCCACCCCTCCTTTCTTTACC